GGCTGAAAACAGCTTTTCCTGGGATCTTTGCATAACAAAATTAATTTAAGGATAAACTAATTATTCAAATAATTGTCAATCTGCTAATCAATTAATATTTAAAGCTTATACCATATGCTATTTGCATCAAATTAGATAACGTCCAGAAAAGGAAATGATAAACAGACAATTCACATATTATATTCCTTTGTGTATATATATCCTGAATAATAGTAAGGAATATGTATACTGTTTATGTTCCTCTGTATTTGAGAAGTACTTTCTCATTACCTGCACAGAGCCTTCACATGTGACATCACTTGCAATGCTTCAGTAATCTCATTGTGCAGGGTGGGGGTTCTGCTGCACCATTTGTCATCATCAGACTGTACTTCATTATGTTGACATATCCGGTGTGTGGGCAAACAAGCATTCATGCACACATGGCCCAAGATGCACTGCTGCAAATGACATCATCGTGATGACCATAACAATGAAATATAATTAAATAAATCAAATTACTTTTATTTGAGTCAACTATTGCATCATTGGGCCGCTGGACAGCTCAGTGGTTAGAGCTGGTGATGTCATCCCCTGTATCTCCCCCTTTTTAACTCTGCATGTGCAATAAATGTCTTTAAAATAAAATTAAAATAAAAACATGCCTCATAAGTGGTCTTCAACTTGGACTTTGTATTTTCTTCATCATATTTATTTCAGGCTATTCTGTCTTATTTATCAGAATTTTTTTTACCATGTCCTTCTACACTTGCCTCGCTGAGCTTACAGTACATTTCTCACAACATGGGGATATAATTGTTTGTTATTCTCTGCCTATGTTTTTTGTGAGTGTTTATTATCTATATTTATTTATGTATTAGTCTTTTTATTAACTAACTTCTGAGATTCCAGAGGTTTTACCCATAAAGTCAGTCTACGGTGCAATACTAGTCAGCCTGAACATTTGTATAATTTTCTCTGAAGGAATAAAGGAAAAATATGCAGGCATAATAAAAGGACGCCTGATAAATTGATGATGTTTTTTAAGGTTGGGATGCCTACGTAAGAGGCTTGGGAAAATCTACACAATAAACTTGGGGAAGGGAGTTAACATGGCATAGAGGAAGAGATGAAGACGCAAAGATTAAGTCTGGTTATTCCCCAAAATGTATGAGAAGAATCATGGATATACTCCACGAGGGCCTTAAATATCCACTTTAGAAAGAGAAAAAATGCAAAAATGTAATATGCCAAGCAAAGTGTTCAGACTATCTAAGAAAGAAAGGCATTTTCAAACTGATAGAGGTACAAACAAACACAAACCATTATCCACACCTCGTACACTACTCTTCTATTGCTGGGGTGAATGTGTATTTCACACTAAATGTGTTCTGAACTAGTTAGACAGACCTTTAGTCAATTAGCCAGCTTTTAGAGTGGGAAGCTAAAAGTGCTTTGCCTGCAGGGAACAGCCTCTTTAGTCTTGTCATAGAAATGAGAGGCAGCTTGGATCCGCCTAATTTATCCTCCATCAATGGAGTTGAGCTTTTTAATTGAACTGCTACAGCAATGCAGTGTCTGTCTAGTGTGGCATTACTATAGGGATGCTTGAGCTGACCAAAATAAAATGCCAATCCAATCTCAATACGTCACATTAGCATTATAAAAGCTAGCTGCAGGGGGGCCAGGCTATGGAAGAGCCACTGTGACAGTTGGTGAATTAGGCCCCATTTACACGGGAACGCAAACGAACCAAATTCGATATCAAAAAAGTCTTCCGTTCACACGGACACGGCTCAATAAACGTGTCCCTTCACACGAGACCGCTCGACCCGCTGGAGACGCTGTAGTACATATGTCGGGCCTGTAAGTGGCGCTGTACTTCGCCGCGCATGGTTGCCATGGTTGCCTGGTTGCCCTTCTGTTTATTCTCCGAGGTGGATTTAGCAACATGTAGTACATGCAGTTCTCCATGTCCACTTGTTGCTGATGGTTGTGGTAGAGGAGCTGTATATTTTGCCCTAACATCTTCTATAGCATGGTCAGTAGCAACTGACAGTAGCTTCTGACAATAGAGATGGGCGAGTCCTGATTCATCCGGATCATTAACCCGGATCCTAGAAATGAGCTGGTCGTGACGAGTCTCCCCTCTCCATTAACCCGAGTCCTTTGAGTCCTACACCTGGTGTGACGTACAAATTAAAACTATCAATTGCGTCACTCGCTACTCTCTTATAACATGTAAAATAACATTACAACGTACCCCAATCCATCTGCCTACCCTTTAGCAAGTAGGATAGCTTCCAGAAGTTATCGTTTGGCTCAGGGGAGGGGACGCGGATCACTGAAACTTGCTGCAGACTCGTGGGGACTCAGAGCCGCGGGAGCCGCTATATTATGCAGACTCAGAGACTCAGAGATTCGCAAATCCTGACTCACTGTGCAAAACATAGCAGACTCGTGCGGACTCAGAGCCGTAACCGTATAGCAGCAGATCCAGAGATCCAGCAGACTCGTCCTCATGCACGAGTCAACAGCAGACTCAGATTCGCCAAATCGCAAAATAACCCTTTTTTTTTGTGATCAACATTTTTTATTAAAGCAAAAGGCACTGTGTAGCGGAGGTTAATATAACGTCAGTTTAATATGCTCGTGAAATGCAACAACTTTTCGGTTTCACCGGTAGGATTTCTACTGTCTCGGTGATGCTGACTCATATGACTCAAATGACTCAAATGACTCAAATGACTCAAATGACTCGTATGATCCGGATCTCTTCAATGACTGACTCATAAGACTCCAAGTCCATAAAAGGATCCGGATTTGCCATCTCTACTGTCGGCAAAATAAATCACTGATTGGCTGTTCAGCTTAGCGAATCAGTGCATGAGAAGCGAAACGGAAGTGAAGTCACACAGACGGCTATTCTTTTTCATTTTCCAGTACCGCACTAAACATGTTTTCGATTATAATTCGCTATGTGAAACAGTCTGTGATGGACGAGAGTGAAAATGGAACGCATGCTATTTGTTGTTTGTATATATCACGCAGTCTGTCTTCAGGTTGCCTCTTTTGAATGACGAATACACACTACCGCCGCCTGCTGGTAAGGAGAGGTATTGCCACTCACGCATGCGCAGTTCGTACGTGCTTCTTTGCGGTGTGTTCCAGTGCGACACATGGCCAAGACGCAGGGGTCCAACGTCTACACTCACTTCTTTTTTTTTTAGTCGTCAGGTTCGAAAAATAAAACTTTCGGGCCTACAAGATTGCGACACGTACGTCAGCCGCACCTGACCTTCATGGCCTCTGGTATTTGCCAAAACCTGAAGACGGTGACACATAGAAGGGTAGTTATTTTGAAATAAACGACTACAAAAAAAGCTTATCTAACAACGGCCTTCAGGGTTGCGCTCTTATTGAAAACACCATCTTGAGAAGAAATATGTAAGGTACCCATGTTGACCCGCACTATTTTTCCTTGTGTATTGACCTCGATACTGTGGGGGCCAGACTACTAACTGTCCAAGTGTCTTTGTTACCCCTCGTAGATTCAGGGTGTTGTCTGAGTAGAGGAGAAGACCGGAGAGAGAGAGACCACCACCTTCGTCGTTCGACAGGCTGGCTTTGTTTCACTTCTTCTCTTTGTTACCGTTTATTGTATAATAATTATATACACCGCCCATCGTTCACTAAAAACACACATGGTCTTACGCATCAAATATTACAATCATAAAGCTTTTTAGAGGAGCCCCTCTGCGTGAGGGTTTCTGGGGGGACGACCCAAAAAGCGTACCGCACGGAAAAATACAAAATGCAAGTTCAGAACCTAAGGTAAGTAGAGGTAACCTGGAAGAAACTCGTAAATGAAAATCAAAGACCCTATATACGGTGAAGTGATAAGTTATAACATACGACTTTTCGCAGTCATATAAATAAAAAATAAACTCTCCGAAAGTTTTAAGCCCTAGCGCTAAATACCTGTTTTCCTTTTTTCCACCCAGGGGCTCCGCGGACTGGTAAACTCTTGGTGACCGAGATTTCCGGGACTTGTGTGGTTTGACTGTTGGTTTCTCGGTGCAGGGGCTGCCTTGGGCTAACACACACA